AATAAAATTTATTTCGTTTTCTTTCAATTCATCGTTTATTGAATGTTCCTGGGCTAAAATAAACCTACTTTTCGATACTTCGGCGAACACCTCTGACGTCACAATCGATCAAATCAAGTCTTTTCAATTTTGGGAACATATAATCAAAGTTTGCCAACTTCTCACCCAGGACACAATGATCGAAGGACACCTTTACCACTTCTTCTAACGGTTGCGCATGGTTCATTGTTAGCTTGCCACAATTCCGGAAACTAATCTCACGCAAATGATTTCGACAATATTTTTCGATCAAACGCTGGATTTTTGCGTCGCTCTCCAAACGCTCTGGATCCACTTGAAGCATTGGGCACATGTTGACGATAGCCAATTTGGATAGCACCGCACCAAATACAAACATGAACGCTTCGATATCGCTGCCAATGTTAGTTCTTTGATGCACAGCTCCGCTGGAAATGCTGTAGTTTGGGAATCGTTCACAATCGATGAACACAGTGTGCTTCCGAAACTTTGTTTGGAAATAGCGACAGGTAGCCGATTGTAGGTATGTGCATGTGCCGCCAATACCAATTAAATCTACCAAACAAAAGCCACCGAAAATGTGTTCCAGACAATCATAATTCAAGTCATTCAGTTTTGTTGGGGATTCCAACACAGCGGCTGCTTGAGATGTAACTGTTGGGTATTCGCCATTAACGGGTTCGAGAGGTTGGCGTTTTGGTGTGTTTGCCAATTGCCAATTGGTTTGAAGTCCACACTGCGAACTGCTTTGATTTTGCGCATTCGATTTAAGCTTGAAATCATTTTCGTAGTTTTGTTTCAAACCTAACCTCTCGTTGTACGGCATCTTCCAAATGTTCCAATCTACAAATAAAGCGGAACATTTTGATGTCGGAGCAGACTTTGAATATGGCAAGCAAAATATAATCTTCATATTTCGAAAGCGAATAAATATTCAAGCGGTTACCTATAAAAATTTGGATTTTTCACTTCACCAACGCTAAAGCATCCACTCTTCTCACACAGCATCCGACACAATTACTTTCGTTGACACTTTTAATTATTGCATTGAACAAATGTCAAATATTCGCCCATTTTCATGCAATCGGTTTAAATGTTGACCACAAGAGTGCATAATCAGATCATTAGGTTGGTTAAAGTGGCAAATTATACCAATTTGAATTCAGATTGCCGGTAAATTAAAACTAAATCATATTATTTGCAATTTCATTCTAAAACCAATCGGTATCAGAAGCGAATAATGCAATTAAACAACACAATGTACAATTGGACGAATTGATTTTTCAGCAAAGAGAAAAGGAATACTCAGCATTAGATCCAAATCAGTTGGATTGAATGTACGAAATGCTACTTGATGCTTTTTTACGTGTTATATCATTTATCATATTGCAGATATTGCCAGATTGCAAAGTATAAAATAGTTGAAAAGATCGATTCTGTTTCATTTGTTCGATTTTTAGTAAAACGAAGACTTCAACCAAAAACCACACAATTCAATAAAGAAGAGTTATTTTTACAATAATAAACATGAATTTTTTACATTTTTCATCTCATTGAAATCGTTTATTGATTCATTCATTCATTTATTTGCTTATGCACATGGTTCAGTTTTTATTTTTTGCATCTTGAGGATACAGGATGTTGTCAATCAAAATTGGCGTTTTCCCTTCAATTTTCAAGTTGAAATTTCACATGTTGAATACATTTTTTCAAACTGAATCTTTAAAACAAATAGTAAAATAGAAAGAAAATTAAATGAATTTTGATATGAACAAAAATAGTTTCGATCGTTTAACATTTCGCCTGAAACATTTGATAGACGTACGTTTATGAGTGTGTGTGCTTTAATTATTTGTTGGCTTTTTATTTGTCCATTACCTGAATAAAATTGGCCAGGTTCGGATTAAATTTAAATCTTGTTTTTAAATGCTTTAACTAACAACAACAAGTTTTTTTTTATTTCTATATATATTTTTTAACCACATTCACCAATAGTATGTATCTATAATTTTTTTTTTATGTTACATGTGTTTTGATGAAGTATAATTTGAATTTGTAACTAGTCACAAAAATATGGCCTAAATTGTTTTCTTGTTTATTTTTTGTATCATATGCAGACATCAGTGAGGTCAGATTATAACCTAAACGAAACAGCCAATAAATATACACATATAAATTTAATTATGTTCATTTGTTTTTCTTTTGTTACTTTATTTTTAACTGGTTTTAATTACGAAAATATTTGTATTTTTTGCAGTATTTCTAAACACTTATTAACTTGATTTTCTTCTTCAAAATCTTTTCCTTAGGAATCAAAACATTGTAAACTTTACCTCAACACATGTTCAAATTGGTATTTTTGGAGTTATTTTTAACATTTTTTTTCGTTTGGATAAACTTACAAAGTAGCTTTGAAGTTTCATACAATAGTAATAATATTTCCTATTTGCCACACGCATTTAGAAAGCTTTCACATAATTGGTTTTGATAGATTTTACAATAAATATTCTTCTTAATTTTGGTAATTTTCTTTTAGTAACACACAAAAACACATGAAAAAGAACAGTCTTCTGAGCCAGGTACCTGTGTTTGAAGAGACCATGGAAATAGGATCAAATTTTAATAAAACTGTGAAAAAGCATTTATATTTATTAGAAAATGATTGAATCGAATCGAATGGTTCGAATCGAAATACAGAATAGTACTTTGAATGCACACTCACCATGTGACAAAGAGTCAGGAAATGATTTGTGTTCGATCTAATTTCGCCTTAAGAGGGAGTGGGTTTGTTTGTAAAAAAAAATTGCATGAAAGCAGGTCGTTGATAGTGAGAGGAGCGGCTGAATGGCTGAATTATGTGTGAGTGAGAACGTAGAAAGTGGTGGCTTCAGTTTGGATAGATAATGGAAGTGAACAAAATCGCATGCGTTTTTTTTTTCTGATCTGTTGCCAAACAAATGTGTGCACTTTAAACACGAACTTTAACAGCCACAAAATAAAATTGCGGTTGCTCGGTGAATCCACATCAATAAAGCGTTGGTTTCTCTTGATTTCAGTTTTTGTTTTTGTTGTTCAACTTGCAATTTGATCAATTAAGCACATCGATACACATGACATTGATCGTTCTAAACATACACATTGCTGAATTTAATTTTTTTCTTCTGCTTAGCTCAAAAATGTTTTACGTTTGATGTAACCGCTGCGTGCTGGCGAAGACATCGACATTCCACTCTCATTGCTGAATTGTCATTGGAAATAAAGAGGAAAATATGTTAGATATTGCACGTTATCAACAACAAACAATCTAAAAACATATATGGCAAATTCAGAAATGGAAATTACATTGGTCTTGAAACGTTTTATTTTTTACATTTTTCTTATTGTGCAAATCATTTTGCGGTGTGTGTGTGTGTGTGACATTGTCGTTGTGTGTATCTATTTTACAACATCCTGATCATGCAACCTATTCGACATTTTTTTTACAGTTCATTCGGATCATATTTAGGTAGCCGTAACGTTGTTGATTTTCAACAATGAATGGATGTGGAGGGATAGAAAAAAGTAAAAGAAAGAATAAAAATGAGATACATTTTATAGAAAAATATCATAAGGTTTGATAATCCCGTTCAAAATAAAAATGAATCGAATAACACAACACAACATTTTAATATTCACAGATTTGCGAATAATTCGAAATAATAAACAAGAAATGCTATTCAACAGTGGCAGAAAAAAAATCTTTTTTCAACGCAAACGCATGAATCTAGTAAAACAAACATTCAACGAAAACAAGAGACTCAATGATGAATATAGTCAACATGAATCGTACCTTCTTCGACGCAAAGATGGTGCCTGACCGGGCAGATTGAAGCAACCTTTTGGTATGACCATGCGTTGGTTGCCTTGTGCTGGTCTTGAACCTCCGTGCGCCATCAGCGTATTCAAATGGGATGCATATCCTTCACTAAGCACCGTTGCACCGGATTGATGCTTTTTACTAACCTAAAAAGGAACAAATACATTTTGATCAATTGAACTTGTGAAAAGTACCTCATATAAACCATATCAGTACATACCTTTCCAACAATGTAGATTTGTTTCGGTTTCAAACCTATGTGTGTATAAATGGCTATATCTTTACTGCTGCCGTACGCTGAATGAATGATAACACCATGGTTTTGAATTAAATTATTCAAATAAGCGGTTTTGTGACCAAGTGGATCCGATAATGACAGTCCATCGGCAAATGACACTAATCCATGTGGGAAATTGTGTTGACTCAACCAAGAGAGCACCCGTTGCTGCTGCATATCCGGTCGACCAGTCACATAAATCAATAAATAGCCAAGCTCCTGCCAATGTCGGCACACATCTACAGCACCAGCTCGAACTTTTGGATCACGTCCGGTCACCGACATCGACGCAGTGAACGATCCATCAATACTGAACACAACACATTCTGTGCACGGTGGAATCACAGCCAAATAAAAATCAACCGATGTGTGATCGCCTCTCACAACCATTTTAACGGGGTAAATGCCATAGCCGAGTGATTTATCCGTGGGAATCGTGTAAATGATTCGTCCTGATTTATCGGTGATTTCGGTAGCCAGCAACGTCCATTCACCGCCCGGTGGCTCTTTCATTACATGAATATCGACACGTTCACCGGCCAATGTGATCATATCCAAGGGGCCGTACATAAATCGTGCTTGCAATCTTTGCGCCTGACCTTCACGCACTATAACATCGTTTGCGCGATGATTGGCGGTGACATTCTTTAGTTTCACCGATGTTCGCTTTTTAATCCATTTCTCACGCGGTTGGCTCGGACGGAACGTTGAAATATCCTTGTCGTCGTGACCAATCAACATTGAACTATCGAATCGACCCAATTGACGTAAAATAAATGCAATCACATCAGAACTTTCCCAATATGACGCATGGAATAGATGCGGAAGTGCATGTGAAGGAAAATTGCTTAGTCCCTCTGGACAGTACAGAGCATAGTCCAGTCGCTTACTACCCCACCATCGTTGTTGCACTAAATTGAAAATGTGAAAGTAAGAAAATAGATTAGTGGTTTTTCTGTTTTTGACACGCTCTCAATGAGGTGATAGACACATTGGGATATAATCAATACAACAGACTGCAGTTGAGCAAATATGGGGAAAACAATCACTTACAAGTGGTAATTGTGGTTAATGGAATGTTATCAATCGAACCAGACACCGTACTTTGGAGTGATGCATCTGACAACCGCCTTTGATGGCCATCACTGAACATTTGAGGATGTGATTGTATGAGTTCCACTGAATAGACGATACAACAACAAATGGTTCCGTTTGAGTATGGATCACACATATGAATGATGAAGATATTCAAAAATGCATCTACAGTTTTACTCACACAAATGATACGGTTGCCCATTCCCAAGTGGATATTTTGCATATCGAGGTATATTAACGGGTGGAAGCATTGAAAATCGTGCACTCAAAAGTGGTTCAATTCGTGATGCTATGGGATCGGTTGGATGAAATAGATTGTATACTTGTTGGCAATGCGGCTTTTGATTGCCCACCCGATTATCAGTCAAACGGCGGGCAGCTAAAACGATGGCCAATGGGCTGCCGAACATAAAAAAATCACCCACTTCAAATTCAAATCGAGGTAAACGAGAATCGCTAGTGGAAGACGATCGTCTCCGTGGTGCTGGCGCTGTTAACAGTTTCGTTGCATCCAACTCCGGATCCGTTAAGAGTCCATGATACACTTCTTCGTCCAAGTTAGACGCTTCACTGCCGTGACGAGTGTGCGATACTCGACAAAGGGCATCATGGGCAAGGATTGCACCCATCGAATCACCGATTATTGCTATTTGACCATTAAAACCTTTTCCTTCTTCGGATCGTAAAAACTCATTGTATACGATGTTTGCGCTGGCCACTGTCTTATTGATGGCATCCTGGAAATCGGGCGTACATGTGGTCAGCAATGGAATTGCACCGATTGGAACATCGGTCAAATTTGGTAGTTCGGACATAGCCGACGGTGATGCATCGAAGGAAAAGGGGCTTAAACTGCGAAGAAAAGAGAAGAATAATAAAGTTGCAGTTTTGTGCAAAACGAAGTTTTCTTACCTCGATAAAATTCCCAGTGCATCAGTACAAACTGGTGGGCAACAAACTAACTTGATAACTAGATGACCGACTAAGGATGGATAATGTTGACGCATAACTGATTCGGATGCGCCACGAAATGTGGTGACATCAGACTTTTTCGCTGTACGATCGGTGCTCGCATCCAAGCAGCTGCCCGCATGGAATACCAGTGCAAGAACACTGGTTGGACACGAATGACCGGGTGAACTGGGTGGAGAATCATGATTACGATCCATGCTCGATGACGTTCCTAATGTTGGTCGACGGCTATTGCGTTCCGATGCAACGCGTTGCAAATACGTGTGGCTGAATATACTGTCATCAGCGGATTTTTTCTGACCTGCCGATGGACTATCATCCTCCTCGGGTAGCAGCTCTAGCGAGCTCCATTTGGCCAATGATATCGATTCACTCATGTCTGGAAATGGAATTGTATTGTTATTTTCTTGGAGATTTATTCGTACTACAGATATGTAAACTCATGATTCAGCCAGAATGTGGCGATGTTTGAATGAATAATAATTTTTGAAATTTTTTTTTAATCTGATATGTGGAGCAAAAAGCTATTTCAGCGAAACTTCAGCGGTTGTGGTATGGCACAAGCAATACAATGGTATATGTATCGACATAATCATACCCTCACCAGACAGTGACACTCTTTTACCTTAGGTTTTTTGTTATTTCAAAAGAAATAAATAGATTTTCAATCGCAGTTTCAGTCAATTCAATCAGTTAGGTAACGTAAGCAACTTACCGATACAATCATAGAATTCTTCATCTGATCCGGATTTGGAATCAACCTCTAACTTTTCCATTCGCCAATTTGCCACCTGCATTTAGTAGATTAGAATAAGATATTTGCATTAAAATTTTATCAAGCTGCATGAATTGCCACAATGAATATTAGGATAACTACAAACTAGAAATATCTACACAGAAAAAAAACTCGTCAGCTAAAAACTCAGTTATCACGGTTAAGTAACTTAAGAGTAGATCAGTGCATTGCGAATAAACAAACTAAATTGTGTGAAGAAATAACTGAAAATTTGAGAGGTGGGCCGATTTGCGATACATTCATATGGGAAATTAAAACTTACATTTTTGACATTTGTTTGATTTGCAGGCTGTCATGATGTTAAAAATAGAGAAAAGAAAGAGACAAAACTCAAATATACAAAAAAATTACAATAAACAAACCATAGACTAAAGACAAACTATCTAATGAACACTCCTTTTTTTCTGTTATATCTCGGAATTAAAATTCAAGAATAAAAAAAAACACACAATTAAAAACAGCATCACCGACTTTCAAAAACATCATTCTTCATCGTGTATTTTTTGTTTACATTTTGAAAGGCGAAACGCAATTAGAACAGCCATTCCAGATTATTAGTTGTATATAAGCGGTTAGTGTAGAAGCAGCGTAAAATCGAATAAATAAAATACCTGTAAATCAAAACTGTGCATCGATCCGGCAGGTGAATGTAATCCATGTTTTGTTCTTGAGTGTTGTGACAATTGACCACTGACCGATCGTTCTTTACGTGTTTTAGAATGTGTTTGCAGCACATCGTCTTCACCCTCCGAGCTGTCTATGCTTGGTGGATGCTCCTTGAGTTGTGGTGGTTCTGGCAATTTTTTGGGGAACATTGGAGTATCTTCCGTTTTTTCGATCGATTGGAATTGAGATGAATGTTTGCTTGCACTCAAATCAGTTGCGTTTGCTGTAAGCGAAAAAATCATATAAATTACTCTGAAATTTTCGTTCGAAATTAAATTTATGAACACAACGAGTTTTTCTTCTTCCAATTTACCATCCTCATCTTCGTCTTCGCCATCCAATTCCATTTTCCGTTGCAAAAGCAGCTGAGTTTCTCGTTCAAATTCTCGTATATTTTCCATTGTTAAACCGTGCCATTCGTCTTGCCAAGCCCATGCTTGCCGATGTGCTGTGACCTGTTTTTATATTGCAATTACCAGTTTGTTGATGCATTAAATCACATCACATAGCAATAAAAATCGAATTATCGTTTGGCATTACCATTGTTTTCCGTAGCGCTATGTCGTGTATGAATTTCTCTAGTTTTGTTTGCATTCCCCAGTAACGAAACTCGACACGGCACAGTTTATAAGCACACATTAGAGACATATTGCGCGATGTTGGCTGCATTTTATCTTTAACCTGGCGAAAAATAATTGCAATTCCATTTAATTTATTCAATATTTGTAATTACAGTTGTAATTTTACTGATTACGATAAAATGTTTTTTACCTCATTCCAATAGTCCTCGAGCCATGATTCAGACAGAGGGCCGCGTTTTGTTTTACTTGAAATATACAGAGTCGGATCTTCACTCTCATCATAATCATGTCCATACAGCTGCTCTTTTACAATATCAATTAAATCTGAAAAAAGAGAATAATCCAATTTGGGTCTCAAGCAATTTTGATTAATTTTAAAACATATCATCCTAAGGCTCTTGACCTCAGACAACACATTTGTTTTGTCTCGTCGTGATATTTACCGACAGTTCTATTTCTTAAATCACTACCATCCAAATTGAAGACATTTTCTTGGTGTCCATCATCCGGAAAATAATATGTTTCGATTTCTAATGAGAATTTTTCAACAAATGGACATGTGCAACGGGTTTTTGTATAGGGATAAGCGTTCCAAGCTTCTTCTTCCACCGTCATAGCACTTTTTGGCAAAAGTCCTAATGGCAAACACAGCATAGAGAAATGGTTATGTTTATGAATGGTGTGCATTTCGTTGGTTGGTTCGAAAAAAATGGGTCAGAGCACAATTTGATTTAGAGCCAGATAAAAAAAAAAACTGATTGGTTACCTTTGATCCAACCGGGTAAATGGCTGCCAATATGATATATTTTTCGTGTGTATTGTCCTACGCCACCAGGTCCATCATCATACGGTTCATTGATCAAAATTTCAACACCGCTTCCAGCCCCTTTACTCTCATCACGGCTTTTTTTCTACATGGTCAGAGAAAATAGACAACAATGAACATATCCATCGTAAAAGTGGCTTTTGTTATGGATAAATGTGTTTTATCTTACGGCTATCATATACAGCTGAGCGATCCGATATTCCTGCACTGTCAGTGGCAACGGAATTCGATACTCTTTAATCAACATCTTTGTGGGTTTACTACGGTTGACCTAATGAGGGATGATGCTCAGCTATGGCAACTTATGCGTTTTCTCGAAAACTGAAAATTATTCAAGTAAAAAATGTATGGATAAAAGTGATGAAACTCAATGTGTGTGTTCATGCACTGTGCAGCGCAATAGATGACTCACCGAATTAAACGTTTTGTATTAGATCCGTGCTGCTGCTCTATTTCATTTTGATTGTAATTGGCATGTGTTTCAATACTCCTTCCATATGCGCTCAATTCAAAATGTGTTTTCCGTTATTGTTGCTTTAATTGGTTTGCTTGTCAAATTTTGTGCAAACATTTATTGGCTCTCACTTACGATGCAACTCCTATTTCGAAACAAGAAATTAAACGTAAATTCAAGTTGTAATCAAATTCGTTGCTATACTTGCGAATTTGCGGCAGACGTGATGTCATGCGGTGCACTAAATAATGCATGATATCGATTAGATTACATATATCAAATCATGAGCAAATTTTGTTGTAATTAATGATATTTAATTTGAAATCAATGGAAAATAACTCGATAACCGTTCAGTTCTGCATGTTTCATTTGGCAATTGAGCGGAATTTTCGTTCATTCTATTAATGAATGAGAATAAACTTTAATTCCTATGAGCAGGACAATATGACATCAGAATGTAACAACCAATTTGCTATATCCAAGCCGTGTTTCAATCTCATCTGTATACAATATTTAAAAAATGACGCTTCCGTCAGTTCGTCTAAATATTTTTGCATTCGAGAATGTAGCTGTCAGTTTTGAACGTTGTTATGAACTATGTCTTCAAGTCATAATGAACTGGCGAGTGAAGTTGTTCGTATAAACATAGAAATTAGATGAAATATAGAGAATTTCGCATTTAATTATTATGATAAAATAACCCAGAAATAAAATAATTCTCTGTGTTTTAATGGAAATAGGCGTTTTAGTTGCACAATCATTTGCGCATTTTCCATCGAAAAGCATTCGAATGACACATCTAACGTAGTGACACATCGCTACGGTGCTGTGAAAATTCTATTCAAAAATGTACTAATGAAGTTCGAGACTATGATTACGATGTATATACATCACCATAGTATATTAGCAAACAGTAAACAGTGTGCACTGTGCACCATTTGTTCCCATTAAATCGTTTTTTTTTGCATCCAGTTTTCTGTGGCAGCGTTCATGCGGGCTCCACAATTAATGCTCATTGTTATTGTATTGTTCGATTTGCCAGTGTCATATGCACATAATCAAGTGAAAAAAGAGCACATAATCGGGTGCAAAGAAGAAAAAAAAAGAAATGAAAGAACAATTGTTTATGAAAGAAATTGTCGGAATAATGGCAAAAGAGGAGTGAAAAATGGAGTAAAGTGAGGGACACAAAGATATCCTTAAACCAAATCATGGTTCGTGGCGTGGCAGTTTGCTCTAGTTTTTTGCCCTATCCCTCCCTTTCTCTGCATTTTGATGCTTTCGACAAATTTAATGCTCTTCAGTTTTACTTGCTCGGTTTTCCAAAGGACAATGAATATCTCTTTCCGCTGCGCCATTTAGAGTGAAGTCTCCGTTTGAATCCATCAACAAAAGTATATGCTTCAGTAAACAACATTTTTACTGCATTATCTATGTGATGTTATTGTTTCAATACGGCTTTTTTTTGTTGGTTTTCGTTTGATAAAAGTGACAATCAAGACAAACAAAATTTTTGCAACATTTTTAATGGCATAAGATAATTTGTTGGTACTCTCCGCCCACCAACAAACTTGGCTCAATGTGAAATGTTTTGAATGTTGAATTCGAAAGTTCAAATGTTACTTTTTGTTTGCATTGACTTGGGACTTCAGCGAAATAATTTTATTGGCGTTTTGCTTTCTATGGATATCAGCTGGGGCTCACATAAAAGGGAAAACATTGCATCGAATCGAATCAAAACGGAAATCAGCCGTTAGTGCTACGGGATGCACATGTTTACTAAGTACACAAAACATTTGATGACTCATCGTTATGTGGCACAAATTGGATAATGTGTATCACAATGGAAAAGTCTGATTACTCTCTCTCTCTCTCTCTCTCTCTCTCTCTCTCAAATCGGAGATTTTTGGAGAATCTGTTCGAAAATCGCAAGGAAGAAGTAAATTGAATCTAAAGATTTTTATGTGTTATTTTGATGTTCCGAAGTTTTTTTTTTACTTTTTTCAATCTCAAATTTTCGTTATTTCCTTTCGGTTGTTCCGTCGTTACTTTTTTCTTTCAAAATTGACTCAAGAAATATAAACTAAGAATGGAATATTATGATTCACATTTTCTCTATAAAAATTCCTCCAACAAACACGCAACTAAATTTAACAACTACGATTTCTTAAGTTGAATCGATTTCAATTTTAGTGTAAACACACCCATAACTGTTTCTAATTCGAAACACTTGAATAGAGTGCGATATTCCACATACATTTGTTACGCTACGTAACACATCCAGCACATGTCGTTTGAATAAATTCAGTAATAGTTGTTTATTATATAAGACGCAATCCATTTTAGATTGACCCAAGCCTTAAATCAAAACATTCCACCAAATAAGCATTTGTGGACGCAAACACACGCTTTGCGAAAATTCCATCCATCCATATCGAATCCCAGAAGCTGGCGTTCACATTGAATTGTTAGTTGTGTACGTTCCGTTCCATGTTTCTGCGAATGAGGCGCACATGTGTACGCTGCAAAAATACAGCGATTGTGTTCAGCGAGAAATATCTCACAACAGCTACAACATTGCGCCACGAGTGGTGTTGGATAGGAAGAGAGAGAGAGAGAGAGAGAGAGAGAGAGAGAGAGAGTGAGCGAGGGAAAAAAGCTCTTGCAAACGATGACGTCAATGATAAGCACCATGAGCGCTCTGTATAGTACAATCGACATCATTGAACAAGCTTTACCTCGGCTGCTGCTCCTGCTGCATACGATTTCTATTTTCTATATAATAAATGTGATGGGGGTCGCACTTATATACACACATAGAGAGTGTGTGAACTACAACTTGCTGGTTGGGAACAGATAGATCGCATTATTTACAGTGCGCCTTTATGCCGATTTGGCACAAAATCGAATTGAGACGTAAGATAATGGTAATACACAATAGATGTATGGCTTCGAAACGACAAAGTCAGAACAGAGAAAGAGAGAAAAGGAAAAAATCAAATTGAATTTCAAGTCGAACATGGATTGTATATGTACTTGTCGTTTACATCGAACATATAAGAATATATATAGTTCGGAAATGGTTTTTCATTGTTTTCTTCGGTTCACAAATTTTAATGACATCCACACAAACACTGGGGCAAATGGGGATTGAGTGTTGTCTTACACCTGCACATCGTTACGAATGTACGAGCTACGAGTAGAATGAGTGTATGTGAGTCTGCATCACTTCAACTCAACTGCCAAAGACAAAGATAGATTTACGACGTCATTATTGCCACATTGCACTCGAGCAAAAAAATGAGCAGCACCAACAGCACTATTTAAGATTCTATTTTTGTTCAAACGTCACATTATTTTAAATGATTCGGCAGCACAGAGTGCGCGCTCACACACCATCGATAGCATCATGGATATGGCAAACTTTTATGAATTATCCCATAACGTTTTACTTTATGGGCGATTTGCAGTGCTAATAATATTTTAATGGGTTTCTTTGCAAGAAATCAATCAATACATTTTCGCCAAGATATTTTGCTTTTTTCGCTTTGTATAGTCGCCCCGTAATACGTAATCAATACATTTGGACTCACTCAGTTTTTGTATGTGTCGAAAACTAGTAATAATATTATGGAATTTATTGACATCTCATGAAATCGCCTTTTGAAATATATGACCAACGGAAACTAAGGCTAAGTGGCTAAGTAGCCTCCGGGTGGCTTTATAACAAAACAAAATCAAGAGAGCGAAGAAAAAAACGAAACTCTTTGGCATAATGGCCATATCATTTCATTGAGTCGGATAACGTGTATAAGTCATGAAAATGAATTGCCTATCGATTCCGAAATATTCTTTTCATACCCCATTTGGTGTTGTGCACCGTAAACAAGCAAATTGACAGGCATCCCTATATCGTTTGGCATTCAAAATGTGTAAGATATGTTCGTAATGTAGTTCTCTGTCTCAACATCGATTCATTTCGATACTTAATTGAATTTGTGATTTTCATTCGAAATGCCTGTGGCCTTAGCAGAAAGAGAACGGAATTACCGCCACAAATACGATTGTGTGGCAACTTGAATCGCACGACGACGACAACGAATTTGGAACGAATTTACATTATATTCTTTACGGAGGAGGATTTGGGTTGATATTATTTATTTTTGATAAAATCAATAAATCCCATCGAAAAATTCCGAAATGTTCAATTAGAAGCAATTCGCTTGAAATTAAATTGAAAATCATTCCCAATTCGGAATCAAATTGGTTCACGCTATTTAGTTTAACTGAATAATTAATTGAATATTAAAAATAAAAAGGTCTTATTAAGTAAGATGCTTAGAAATGAGCCTATTACATAGTATGGGCAAGAAATGTTGCGACTACTTTGCGAATTTGACCATTTAAAATAAACTTCTTCAAGAACAATGAATGGAATTAAAATTCATTCCTTTTTTCTTCTTTTCTTTGTTTTTTCGTCTCCCTTTTTCTATAAAATGTGCCAATAAATATTAGTCTAATTTACTAAATTCACTCTGAATAAAAAAAACACTTCAGATTTGCATTCATTTCATGAATACCATTAAAATTTTGTTTGCATTTAATATTTTACATCAATAGAATTGCTTTATGTGAACAAACACTAGACATGGTTGGATGCTCTTAATTACCACTTTCTTTACATGAATAAATCACTGTGTTCCATATTGTAAAAATCTGGTTGAATGGCTTCCATACACTCACAAAAAAACCGAAAGGAACAAAAATCCGTTTCACTTTTTAATTCGATAAATATTTTATGCGATGAATGCTGTTGTCTTTGGACGTTCTTGCTGAATTGATTTTCTCATACTATATTGCGTAGACGATGCACGGATTTGGTGGTGATATCAGTCACCATCAACTACTGATGTACGAATGCCAGCTTACAATCCAGTGCTCAATGATAAAAAGCTCTGAACCATTGAACTCAGTACTATCAACTGCACTAACACATTAGTATCAGCCACTCAGTCTGGCATAGCACATTTTCGATATAGTCGCTTCCTTTTTTTCCGTTTTTCTCTCTGTGAAGTGAACACTGCGCATGCGCAAAGCTTTCAGTTCTTTTTTCCCGAAAATGTTAAAGGTGATAGAAGCGCGCGCGAGTGAAGCACACATAAATTGAATCAGCATCCACCATAAGGAATATAGAGAGCCACATGGAAAATATATGAACAAAATTGCACACAATTATGATTGGAATGTTGATTGCTTTGAGGGAAAGGGTCCTTTTTCATATATATATATTCCAAAATAGATAAATAAATAATTAGATGAGTTTTAGCTTTTGACAACGGACAATTAAATTCTTTCAACGATTGTTCAAACAGGTGTGCGATTCCTTTCGCATGAACCCTTCGCTCATACTGAACACGATATTCATGTGGAACAATTTTTTAGTTTGTTGAAAGTTGAATGCTCTCTTACGCTTTCATTTTCATGCACCAACCAATTAGATTTCCTATTTAGAACGTCACAGCACGCAAACCATGTGCACTTGAATTTGTTTGGCATATACACTTGAAAGTTGTATGAATTTCAGACGTAATGAATATTTTTTGGCTGGCTACTCGACATATTTAGTTTTTTTTTTCGTGTATCAGACAGTGCCCTCGAGATCATTAACAAACACATAAAATTAATTGATTACATTTTATGCTAGTTCCAACGAGCCAATATTTTTCACTTATATTGTACAGCATAGACATTCAGCAGCAGCAGCAGCAATAATTACACAGCGGATGCGTCTGTTTAGTTCAATTTTTATTGAAATTCTCTAGAGCAGATTTTTCATTATCGCTTCAAAATAAATATCCTAACTGTCTCACTTCGAGACTAAATGATTTGTCATTGGGAAGTTTTCGTTAGTATTACAGCATCGTACAAAATGGTTTAACGAAAAACTAAATTACCACCAATGTTTACTGACCCATTTGCTTTATTGAGCATATTTCTGTCTCCGACAGTTTGTTGTTGAAGACACATTATGAATATGTAACGAAATTCCAATGTGAAATTAACGTTGAATTCTTTCAACTTTAAATGGCTCCATAGACAAAATGAGATAAAGTGTGAACTTAAGTGTATTCTAGGTTGGATAGCGTGATGCGGGTTAATATATACCAATAAGAAAGCAAGTGCAATTGAGAATTTTTACTCAAGAAATGGGTCGAACGATATGTTTAAGTTGTCATCATTGCTTTTGTAAACATAGTTTCGAATTTATTTGCAATGAAAATTTATAACCATATGATTTTTTAATTCGCATTCATTTCAACTTCAACGGTACCTACTCGCAATGCTATTAGCGCTACGCCATTACAAAATATTCTATGGGGAAAATAGTGTTTTCTGGCTTGTGGTAGCCATAAACATCCATTTCATACGGGTACGTTTCGTGATTTCATGTAATTTAACGGGGGACTGTGATTTGAAACCACACCACCGAAAACAAATCGAACCGAAACACAGTATGAGAAAATGATGACGTCGTTGATGTTGGCACATAGAAGATGCTATCCTTGTAAATTGGCCTATAGAAAATGTGTGCTATGCACATAGAATATATAGGTCCCTATGTGATGTACCTTTGACGTCATCAACATCCTGGCCCAATAACATTTTCATGGTCTACACTACGTATTATGTGTGTGCTATGCATTGTATGAGCTATATAATACGATGCGAATGATTCGTTTTCACTGAATTGTATACTTCATCTAGATTGAACTGTTTTTTTTTCTGTGGGTATATCGCTATCGCAGAATTTAATAACCATTTTTTTTGTGCCAGAGAATATTGGACGAAGGGGAGCAATTGGCACAGAAACAAAATACACAATTACAATAACCAAATTCATTGGTCTATAGAATCTGAAGACAAAAGGAAGCGCATATTTATATCTCTGTGTGCAGATTTATCGATGAAACGCTGGTATTTTTTTTCCTCCCACAAAAAGAAAAGCGTTTTTATTTTCGGGCATTCATTGGATTTGCAGATATGCTAAATATTCTGCTACACCGTGTAATAAAGGCAGATCGTTTGATTTTTCGGTGGAAAATATGCTATTTTTACGGAATAAAATCAAATCAAATTTTGCCGTTATTATTAATTCAAACAAATATACGCATGTACCCACGACAGGAATGTTCGTAAATTGAGACTCGTACCTTTCGAACAGATACACAATACACGCAACGGGAAAACATTCGCAACATTTTCCATTGTCTTCCAATTATCCCCAAAAAATGTTGAAGATAAAAATAAAACGAATATTTGCATGTGATTTGATTATTTTATGGAAATAACGCAACAACACAAATAACGTAATGAAAAGTTTAATTTATTTTTAAGGGGCATTTATTTTGCGGTGACATTATTATGGTTTTTTTCAATCCGGCCATACCTCGCATTTGAATGAGTTTGCTTCAAATTGATGGGAAAATCGCTGGAATTCCAATCAACTTACCATTTTTAGGAACATTTCACTGATTTGATACGTTTTTTTCTAACCGAATTGAACATATATACAACAAAGTTCAACGAAAAATGTTGACATTTTTTACATTTGACATTTGTTCAGCCAAATGGAACAACACTCCGATTTCGAATCAATAATTTAACGAAACAAAAATCCCTTTTGCTGGATGTCTAAAAGTATATCGCTCTATTTTTGGATATACATGTTTTTATCAACTTGAATTCATCTAAAATTAAGAACCTCACAATATATATATATATGTTTTACTAAGTTTAGTTCATGTGAACAAGTGTCACAACTGTTGTATCTAGATGTATTATTTCAAGTAACTATTCCAATTACAAAGAAAAGAAATATTACAAACGAGCAATTCATGTATGTCACGAAGTGATAAAATTATGACGAACACTCGAAGTATTGAAACGGCGAGAATGAAACGAATGATAACCTAAATACGATACATAGCCAAAAAATGCCGACTCCATAGAAATATATTCTGTTGACACATCAAGAAGTGAACATTTTTTTTCTCTTTTTTTTCGTTATTCTCTGTCATAAAATTAGAAGAAAACTTTGAATTCGAAATTTTAATTTTATCAAAGGCTCATGTTTTTTATTCAAAAGTTTTCGTATGAATTTTAAGTACTATATTATTTCTCGATGATTCAGGCGGAGTGACAGGAACATTGTACTTGTTGTATTCGCTTATCGTCACACAAAGAAAATACATGGAAAAAAAATGGTAAGATAACCCGTCAAAACATAAATCACGTTTGTACATTCATTAACAGCCACACTTACACACAGAGCGGAGTGAGAAAAAAAAGTCTAAATTGTTTATCGTGTCAATTAGTATAAATTTTTCCTTTGCTCACGACAAATTGCTCAAGTGAGACAGAGACTCAGTGTGGTGTTGTATCAATATTTAAAACGTTATGGATCAACTAAGAAGTGAATTCCACGAAGCATTTTTGCAATTAAGTCGAAAGTTTAATCAGCAACTGCGAAACCAATCGGATCAAATCGAACGACAACAAGGCGAACTAAACCATCAATGTGATATTATCAAAGAGTTGTCATGGCAAATACGCGATCTACGAGATTCCGTACGAAAATGTAACGACCAAATATCATGGCAACAATCGAAGAATTGCATTGATTGTGCAAAGAATCGCATGACACTTAATATTCCAACAACGAATGTCACCAAGCGATGGGAACACGTAGCAGGTAGGAAAATTGCTATTTCTCTTATTATTCACATTCGATTTTAGGTACGCTCGGCACGATTCTAATTGTGTACAATTAAGGATGAACGTTGTTGGATTCGTTTATGTGTATATATTAAGTCAATTGTTTTGGGGAGCGGGTGGATTCGTACCGTATCCACTCCATTTAATTTTGACGAATATCTTACCTTATCGTTTCGATACAAATGTTTATTGCAAAGATAAAAAACGGCAAAGACAGAATTGTTTTTTTTTAACAGATTTGACAAAAGTTGGTTGTGTTTTTTTTGTAGGCGCTAGACCCATTTATGGGTCTATAAATGTTGATGCAGATCGCAATTCGCACAATAAATTGAATAAACTTAAAACACAAGACGCAATTGATGATAAAGTACAGAACCCAAGCTATTGCCGTGATGTCAAAGCTTTTCTCGAACGATGTATCCCACCGCCTCCAACTGATCCACCGCCATCAGACGACGACGATGAATCATTTGGCCTAAGCCCGTTAGAGTTCAGTACTGAAACACTTGAAAAACTGAACAGTTTATATAGTTTGTACAAAGGCGGGCGTCCGAGTAGTAAAGTTGATGACGAAACAGCAGATGTGGAGTATCGCTTGCCTAGGTTCAACGGATGTTCGACACGTCCATTGCGAGGCAGCACTAAAGCTGTGTGCAGTTTAGCTTCGGTATTGGCATCGATTTCAACATTAAAATGACAAAAGTTTGTGCTAATTTGAGCTGTTCTTTCGTTGCAGAACTTTGAAGAAGAATATTCGCCTGATGATCGTTCAGTAAAATCTTTGAATGAATCAATTGAAATATTCGTCAGTAATGTTTCGGTTGATGGGAAAGCAGACTGTCAAACAGAATCAGAACAAAATCGTGCACAAAATGACGCTACTCTAAATGACGAAGTCTACATTTGATTGAATCACGAAATCTCAGTAAGTTAATTACTCTACGCACCGATTTTACGTAATGGAAACAGCGATGATATTAAAACATAGCATTGAACAACACCCAAAATGCTCATTACACAAAAAAAAAATGAATCATGGAAATCATGACTATAGTAATTTTAATGTTTTGTTTTTTTGAAATATTTTTTCCGCTCTTTTGACTGTGTATATAAGTTGAACTTTCCATGAAATACAGCACAGTAATGCTATGGTCGATTTGAGTGTGTTTCATTTAAGCTTCATTGTGCTTTATCAAGTTTAATGGAATCTCCGGCACGATATTTCATAGATTATTTTGGGACATGTTTGCGTTTTATAGCCAAAACTATCGTAGAGAAAACCGACAGACATACACAGAAGAAAAAAAAATGTTGATGATGATGTCGCTCTGATTAAATTGATTGGCGAGCGTCAGGCCTGCACAGTATTTAATTAGAATACAGTGGTCGATGTGAAAATTACGGTGTTGCAACTGTGTACAGTGAACACAACACACATGTTCTCCATTCGAATTTATATTTGAGGCGGATGGTAAATACTACACATGCTATATGTTGTATCGCTGCGCCATGGAATGATACAAATAGATTTTCTCTGGCTTATTTCATTTGGTAAACTCTCAATATGCGCATAAAAGCGTCCCACGTGAATCCATTTTAGCTTTCCAACTCTGGCAAAAAAAAAATACACAGGCACAAAATAGGAGAATGATTGGAAAATGTAACTATTAATTCTATTATGGCTTCTTTTCATTCTCAATTGTGTGAGTTAGTGTGTATGTGTGTGTCTGTCGGTTCGAATTCTTTTTCCTCGACAAATTAGCACATTTCTATGGGCGACCTGCAAAATTCATTCTGACTCGGTTCGGGTTTAAGCAATTCGATAGTGGTCAATTAAACACTTAGCTGGCGGATTTTCCCATTAAAGAAGCCATATACGTAACTTAAATCAGATTTGCAAACAATTAGCAAACAAAAATCGCTCTAAATTGTACTGATTCACTTGGACAACGAGTCGATGTCGAAATATATCGTCGACTGTAGAAGAAAAAAAACGTAAATGTGAGCATTTCGCACAGAAGAATCTGTGACATTTGGTTAACGCGAATATTCGCACAATGTTATGAGAAAAGAAAAGAACAACTCTCGCAAGAAGAGTACCTTATCATAGACCGTGTCCTTGAAACCTAACACAATTTCCCCTCACAATGCTATCCAACCTTCTGTTCACTTCAACGAATAGCTTATGATTTATTTTTTACATGTTTGTTTTACAGTCTGACAAACAAAAAAATTGAACTGTTGATTCTAGTTCAGCTCATCGTGATTTCTTTTAAAGAAACAAAAATGAAAATACCCAACGCAACACTAAACATCTTTATGTTTATATGAATTGCCAACAAACGGCCGATAATTTATTAATTTGCTGATATGCTGCTTGTTTATTCAATCGCCATATCCATTCAAATGGAGCTTCAAATGGATGTGCTGAGTTCTTTTTCATTTTATTCGCTCTCTTGTTCGCGTTTTTTTTCTTCGTTTTTTGTTTCTCTTCTTGCCTCATCATTCAAATTGACTGGATATTGTAAACAAACGTAATTGAGCGAATAGACGAACTATAGGGAGAAAAAACGACAAGTGTAATTTATACTCATGCGTACAAAAACATACACATTTCATCTTTTTTTTCACGGGCTTCTTATGAACGATATTTATTGGTGTCTATGGCAATTAAAGAGTTGAAATTTTTTTTCTTTCCTCGGGAAATTTATTGAATGTGATGAGTTATGTGGAAAAATCACGGAAAAAATATATGGCGATTGAACTGAAACGGTGTATTTATGAGAAACATCGGATAAAATCAAAGTTGTTCGAGCATATTTTGCTGTTCACATACGAATATTTGATGCGATTTGATTTTTCATTTGATTTTTTCCTTTCAATGTATCGAAATTAATCTTACGTACCAATCCACAAAATGCCAATGGTATTAGTCGGTTTGAATGAGGTGTCTGCACCACAAATATTAACACCAATTTATTGTTGTTGCTAAATATTTTAAACCACTCGGGGAATTTTGTCACAGTTGTTAATTTCGGCAGTGAAAATATTCAGTCCTGATACCGAACACCAACAACAAACACATACACGAGAAAAAATGCTTTTCGAAACACAGAAAAAAATGATTACAATTTAAACAGGTATAAATACACATAAACACAAAAGATGAACGGGGATTCGCAAAACGCAAAATAGAAGGAAATAATGTCTCCTTGTGTCACAAGTGAATGATACCCGAACTGCTGGCAGATAATAACTAAACTGTCTGTATATTTTCCACCTTGATATTGGCTCTCATACAAGCAAAAAGTCAATATTGTTCTCCCAATGTCATGTGTTTTGGGTGAAAACATTCTCATTGTTGTCTCTCGCTCTCACTCTCTCTCTCTCTCAGTCTCAGCCAATTCTTATTTGCAAAATGACAGTAAAAGTGACGTGCGCGTGACTACGCGTGACACTCACACAACAGCATACCATATGTTGAGTTCGGGAGTTCGCGCGCTACATTCAAAATACGAACAATTCACCACGAATAGCCTGAAGTTAGGCAAAATAGTTGTTAATATTCTTATATTGCTTTAGATTTGAGCTCCGTAATAATGTTACGATCGGTGTTTCTCGATCAGGCTGATGTTGCTAGTTTAATACATTTTCGAAGAATCATCCGCTTTATAGCCAAGAGTAGGTGATGTGCCAAGTGTAAAAGAATTTCCTCAAATCAGTCAATTCCCGTTTGAGTATAAGATTGAGGGGATAATACTAGTTCATCTGCTTTACATAATTTTTGCATTAAAAAAAACTTTGTTCGCACTCTCGTTTACATCGTTTCTTTTTACAAAATTTTAATTTTAGTTGCCAAGTCGATAAATATTTCACGGTTTGCAATTTACATGCATTTTATTGATTACACGACGCACACTTTGGCTCGTTTGCGATGCTGTGAATTTTCCTTTCGCTTTATTTTGACCTCAATTCCGCTGCAAATTAACATAACAATGAATAGTAAATCTTTCGACCGATATTCAAGACGACAAAAGAGAAATAAAATAAATGTTAGCAAAAAAGCGAATACAAGAAACTCAACATTAATTAATCGATAAGAGAATCGGTGTGATGCCGAAAATATTCATGAACAGTCGTATTACATCATTGAGAAATTTGATTGAAAACTGTGCTAGTTAAGTTCAATGAACGCATGTATTGCATAACACTACATTTTTATGAACGTTTTTTTTTCAACATATTTACTGTACAAAATTCTTCAGAAATTGTTTTAAATACTTTTGCTTGAAACCGTGTGAAAAAAATATAGAAAGAACCAGAAAAAACTTCTTCAATTCATCTTTAAAATATCTCTTCAACTTGACGTGTTCAACGATTCTTCATTCGATAATTTAATCAAATCCAATTGTAATTAACGCAATTAGTATGATTTCAGTCGGTTTCAATTGTAGATTGATTTTGGGTCACAATCGATTTTCTCTCTGTCTGATAAATTATCAATGTTGAGACGATAATGACTGAATGTTCAAATCTCAAGGGCGAAGTCTTTTAGATTCAAACAAAACGCGTTGAAGGTGCTGAAGTGAAAAAAAAAAAACGAAATGAAGTGTATTTTGCGGTTTGTTTTGAACCAAACGAGTTATCGTTAAAACTTTTTTTGTGTCTTGATATTTTTGCTGACTTTTAAAGTTGGAATAGTGGTTGGAACTTGAACCGATTCACTGAGGTCACAGATGAATTCAACAAACAACAACACCTTTAGTTAAGACATGTATGTTGATATGAATCAATAACGGTGCTGATGACTTTTTTATCGGTTCGCTATGCGTTACGCAACACTCAAAAGAATAAGATGAATAAAAGATTGCGTCGTAGCAAACGGGTCACTTCATGGACAGGCAGTTGAATTAGTAGCGAGAAAGATTCGATTGGTAAATGCAAATTTCCACACAACAATGGTCAATTAGTACTTTAACACAAATTGCCATTCGAACGAGTTGGGGCTAGTTAATTTATTCAACGTTTCATATGAAATTTTGACAGATTCATACAGCACTTCCAATGCGGCCCTATATCCCTTTTTAAGCTGCAACTATATTTCATTTTTGAATATATTTTCGTTATGTTTGATGCTAATTTACATCTGCCTGCCATAGTCCGTGCTGTGTACCTGCTCAATACCAAAAGGACATTCCAAAGGTCATATGAAGGTTGTGTGTTCTAATTACCTATGCTAAAATGAATTTGTTACATGTAACAACAGATACAGATGTATTTTACACTTCGTAGTAATCACTTGGTTCGCATATTTTGAACCGAGTCAGTGTCAACACTGAGAAACTTTTGAAATATTGAAGATAAAAAAAATGAAATAAAATCAAGCCGTTTTGTTTGATAAAAAAAAACTGCACTTGAATCAAAAGAAAAGTGGGCATCAATCGGTCAAGTAAGTTTCATTGACATCATCATAGACACGTTTGTATATCTTTTCAAGAGTTATTTTTCCAACAGATTCTAAGGACGCAATTGTTTGAAAAGATGAAAATCACTGATTTGAATATTGACAGTATCGGGGTAATACTGGATTATTTGGAATTTCAAGATTTTCTCAACGCGGCTGCATCAAACAAACAGATAAACCATGCAGCCAAATTCGTTTTTATTCGAAAGTATAACAAAAATCGTCTACAGTTTCAATCTTGTTGGAATAAAGACGTGACTTGTTATTTTTATGGGAAAAAAACAGTTATTTTCAAATTAAAATTTGCCCTACCATTGCTGCGCTGTTTCGGATGTGTGATGAACAAAATAGAAATAAAATTCAACGACACCGTTTATGATCAATATATAACTTCCTACTTAAATCAATTTTGTACTGAATCCATAACAAAAATTCGTATTCTAAATATTCCGGAACATGCATTGGACTATTTTAAGAAACCTTTTGCCAGTGTCGAAACAGTCAGTTTAGGAAGATATAAAAATCAACCTAAAGTGGCTGAAGACAATTGGCTCAATAAAATATTTCCAAAAATGCGGAAATTGAAGGTTCAATATAACGGGGTGTTTAATAACAGAGATATTGTACATCATTTTCCCTATTTGGAACATTTAGATATAACTTTTAATCAATTGAACAAAGTATGTATGCACAGGAAAAACTTGATAAACACTTTGAAGTTGAATCCACAGTTGGAAAAATTACACACGAAATGCTTCGGGCTCCCAGCTAATAAAATCATTAATGCAAAATTCTTTCAGATTGTAAAAGAAAGTTTGCAAAATCTTGAATGTCTTGATTTGACCATCGACTGCAAAACGTTTTTCCATAAATTCAATTTCGAAACTATACATTTGAAGAACATGAAACATCTGAGCATTGAATTCAATGACCATCCAACTACTGGATCATTTGACTCGCTTTTTCATTACGATCAACTTGACTCATTTACTTTTCAGATAAATTTCACCAATTATTTCTATAGTTTTATTGAAAAGAATCCGACCATATCCACACTAGGTTTGCATTTCGTATCGGTGTCTGA